ATAAGAACAACTCATAAGGAACCGTGTATTAAATTTTCAAGTTTTTTTGGTCGTCCAACATTTATCCAATGATGTAAATCTGTCATCGAATATTAACCCTTTAATTCAAAAAATGTCTTCAAATCTCATCACTGACCAGCCTCCACGCAGACTGAAAAGAAACTGGAATCGTGACCTACTACTCTAAAAAGTCTGGGTCTGGGTCGAAATTCCAACAAATCACAATACCGACATTTATATTTATACTATTATATTCATTAATCATTATTTAATAATTTTATATAAAAACTCAAACAATAAATTAAAAAATATTATTATTTTCATTATTGGTTATAATATATTCGACATAATATATGTGACCATCATCGATCGTCATTGAAAATATTGAATATTGTAAAACTATATTATACATTTTAATATACAATAGTTCATCCAGGCTGCATTTAATTTAAAATAAGCTATGATTCAATTATTAAGGCAGCGAATAAACATTCTATATTTATTGGTAATAAATGTTTTGTGTTTACTAGCTTAAATTTATTTTCTAGTTATATAACAAAGAAAAAAATATGGATTAACCATTTTTTAATTTTCATTTAATATTTCTTAATTTTAAACATTGATATTAGTTAGTTTTAACTTATAGCATTTTACAACACTAGCATTGAGACATTACAATATTAGTATTTGTATAGAAAGGGTTGATTAAATTCAATACTATTAAAAACATATGTCTATAGTTGTATACCTTTAAACAAAACTAACTAAATGAGTACAAAATAACAATTAATAAAAAAAAAAAAAATACAATAAAAAACATGATTATTAAATATACCTACAAATGACTAAAAAAAACATCCATAATCTTGTCAATAAGTCTTAATCCAGATAAACTACATTTTCTTTCTTAGCAAAATAAAAAATACATAACTAGAAAATGTTGTAGAATATTTATTCATCCTGTGAAAAAAAGATACACATTTATCAGGACATCACAATATATTATCTTATTTATGTATCTAACGAATGAAATAGGTACATGATAGTAAATATATTATTTCATAAATAATATATRAAATATAAAAAATATTATCCAGTTATAAAATAACATTCTTATATTGTCACAATTCATTATAAAAATTAAGTTATTAAGTTATTTGAACAGAAAGAAGAAATGCACTTTCATGTAAGTAAGCATATCATTGAAGTAAATTTTAAATATAACAATATAATTTAGTATATTATACTATTAAAGGTTGGTTACTAGTATAACAAATCTAAGCAGAGACAAAATTAAAATACTTACTTGTACATTACAATACTTTGTTAAACAAACATATTTCACCTCAGCTACATGGCACATGATTCTTATGGCTAAATTTATTGTACATCGTAATCGTAATAAAAGTTGTTCTTCATTTAATAGCATAAACGCTATACCATCAACTTCCTAATGTATTGCATAAAAATAACAATTAATAAAGTTCAACGATGACTGATGAAAGATATAATTATAATTCAATATTATTTACCCCAGCAAATAATTTCAGACCAACGTCCTTACAAAACAAATCATTCGTCAAATATTTATAAACGTCCTCAGCAGACCAATATTTTGGATTTGATGTGATCTTAATATGWTCAATTTGTCCTATATCAATTTTATACTTCTTAAATCTTGGATTTTGACGATAATAGTTTTCAAAAGTTGTTTTCCTGAAAACATTTTTAAATCATAATCACTACATTGAAAAAAATTAAGTATATTAAAAATTATCAAAATACCAATCCCCCAAAACAATAAATTGTTTTTCTTCTATAGTTTCAACATCAGATTTAGTATTGCTGAAAACTTCCATACTATCCATCCTCTTAAGATTATTTTTTTTTGCTATAATTTCAGTTACAAGTGATGACTCCAGTTCAGTAGGACACTGGTTTAGTCGAAATATGTGTGCTTCTAAGTCTAATATACTTCCCATATAATGCTTATACTTTGCAACTAAAGGTTTATTTGACCAATCTAATACTTTKCTAGCTAAAAATATTTTATAAAAGAACAATTTAAAATACTGACTTTATTTAACATCGATTAATAAAAATAWAAATAAGTTATTTGTAATAAATACAATAATGTAATACATACCAACTCTAGCAATTTCTGAGTGTGTTATTTTACGGCGTCCAACATTATTAGATTTTAATGTACCATCAATTCGACAATGTTTTTTTTTTGATTTCACACTCTTGGTTACAGTATTCGTTTTATGTTTAAATGACGGAACTGTAAGCACATAGACGATTTGATTATATTATTTAAATAAATATATTTACATCTAATAAATACTTAATCACACATAGTTTATGAGGATACATACAAACAAAAATACAAAATATGGTCTGAATGATATTATAATAAATATTGTTATAGATGACTTATAAATAATTAATGATAATTGTTTAATATGAAGAGATTATTTATATTTGATATATATGAGATATTTGTATTTAATCATTGAATTTTTGTTTTGGACGTCATTTTCATAATAATGAAGTTGAAGGGAAAACTGACAAACAGAAATTAAGATTATACAGACATACAGTGAGCGAGTGTGGTAAAAATATGTGGTTCAAAATTATGACATGAGCAATGAAAATAGTAAATCATTATAAAATAATAAAAGTTATAGATAAATTAATTAATATTTAATTAAGATTGTTAAGATAATAAAACTTATGAAAATATTGTAAAAAAATCTTAATTCATAATTTGGTGAAATTAAAAACACACGAAATCAATGTGTAAAATATTATTTAATTGGAATCAACAGAAAGTCATTAATATGGTACATACTGTCTTCTTTTGAGTTACAACCATGAGGACACTTCGTGTCTTCAGTAGTCATGAAGAATTCACACATGCCAGATAGATTACACAGAGCAGAACAATATGTTTTAGCCATCTTTTTTGATTCAGGAAGAAGTAGAGATTCTGTGTAACTACAACGAGTTCTTGTTGCACTTAAATAAAATAAGTTCATATAAATTCTATTTGTTTAAATAATATYATGTGTTCATRYATTGAAATACTTACCAAGTGGTAATCCCCATTTCAATACCACCAGGTCCATTGAATAACATATTTTGAATTTTTTTAATTTTTTTCAATGCGTTCCAAGGAAAATAATCTAAATCAACAAACAATGATATTGCTTCCCGTAATATTGTGGACACGGGACCGGGACCAATAGTATCTGGTAATTTTGGAATTTTCTTTTTTACTACATGTCCTCCAGGATAACAATCTTTGTTGAAATAAATACACATTTTATAGCTATTTTTAGAAAACATAACCGAAGGATTGTTTGTAACATTTTCTTTCTTTTTCCTAATATGAATAACATTTTTATATCTATTTGAAGAACCCTTTTTTG